TGAAGGGCCATAGCCAGTGCTTCTCCACTCTTCGGTCCGGAAGCACCAGCTCGAGCTCGAAACAATACCTCTTCTTCATTACGGTCCATCTCACTATGCACAGCTCACAGGAGAACCCGTCGCTCCAGCAGTTCTCGGCCAGGCGCACGCCGGGATACATGAGCTCGCTTCGGATGAGGCCCTCAGCCAGCCGCTTCGCCTCGCCTTCGTCCAGCTCGGCCCCGCTACCGTCCTGCAGCGCAGCGATCGGCGACTGCCCGGTGAGTCAAAAGAACGAAGCCTCGTAAGCTGTTCTGGCAACCTCAAACGCCGATTGTATGTCTGCCCGCTGCGGCTGAGCGGCTCGAAACACCCTCGCTGGACCACCCGCCCTCACACAGAACGCGCCCGCCTCCCGATCCCATAGGAGTGTCGCCACACCCGCGTTCATCTTCACCATCGCCTTGTACTCATACACGAGTGCTTGCGCAAATAGATGGACAGACACGGAACAGATCTCGACACGACCTACCCAGCAACCATGAGCACACACATCGTTCATGCATGCATGCCCCAGCCACCATCTCGCCCCTTCTCTCTTTCCACACCTGGCTCATCGGGCGACGTATCCATCTTGGCTGCCTCGGCGCCACTCTCGACCGACATGGCTGGGTGCGTCTCCTTCCCTTCACCGTCGCTCGTCGTGCTGCTCTGTCCCATGCCCGACCTGCTCGGCTCGTCGCTCCCCCCGCCAACCGTCACGCCGCTCCCCACTGACTGCCCGACTCCTGCGCTGCGAGTCGAAGATACAGGTGCCGGGGCACTCCACTTCAGGTAGTCGAAGTGTGTGTTCTCGTAGTTCAGCACAGTCAGGGTGGTCGACGGACAGAACGCCCTCGACTGGCAGTGGAACGCATCGGCAGTCGTTGAAGCCACCGGGTTCCACGGGAACTGCGTCATCAACGCCTGTTCCATGACGCTGTACACCAGCGAGATGCAGCTGTATCCCAGCGCGAGGCACACCGCTGCCACCACGTCCTCCTCTGCCCAGGCGACCGCCATCCATCCTGCTCGGACCGCCGAATCGTCCGCCACCATCCGCCGAAGCTTCGTCAAGGCGTTCGGGAACCAGGTCTTGAACAGCACGTCGCTAGGCGCCTCCAGGCTTCCCACTCGCCACCGAGCCGTGTCGAAGACGGTCCGTCCACTGACGTCTCTGAGCTCTAAACGCTCCAGCGCTGTCCGTCTCAGCTCCCGAGGGCTGAATCGCTGGCCCTCGAACACATAGATGTGATAACTGAGAGAGTGAAAGAAGCAGTCCCCGTCGCCAGGCTGTCGCACAACGGTCAGAGGGAAGGCCAGCCGACGGAGCACCAGTGTCAGCCTGTTCCTGTCTCCCGGGAAGAAGACTCGCACCTGCGGCCGCCTCAACACCCCCTCGACGGACAAACGCAGCTGCCGCGAAGCTCTCGTCTCGACCTCCTCCGCCTCCTCGTCCGCCTCTCCACGTGTCCTCTTCACACCCGAAGACACACACGTAACCACGCGCACACAGATGCAACAGAACTCCGAACCACCCTTCCCTTCGATTGCCAGAGTCACTGAACGCGCAGCCCTCGCCACGTTCCCGATTTCGAGTCCGATTTCACCCCAGAGCAGCGTTCAGTGTCAACGCAACGCTACGGCTCACCTCTCGTCGATTGCTTCACCATCTTCTCCACACAGTCACCACACACTTTTACGCATGCCCTAAGGCTCACCAAACGTTTTCCTTTTTCCCTCCTTTTGTTTGACTGCTGACAA